CAACATGTAATATACACTCTCGTTTAGATCATCAGAATACTAATTCATAGATACTAAACATGGTAGGGTTACATATATGTAGGATGACAGGAATGAGTGTTTCCATCACAAGCCTGCATAAAACAGTATAAAATCTCAAAGACAACATACACGATGACCTGAAGGCTATGTGTGTTCATTCAAAGAAAGGTTTTCCTATGGATTAATTAGTAGAAAAGTCCATTTCTACTGTGCATTGTGCCTCTTGCTATGGAACATGCAGTGATTTTCCCTACTCACATTCCATCAGGTCGTAAATGGCTCTGGTCTTAGCAAACGTGTCGGGGTTGCCATGGTAACCAGTGGCCTGTGGTCATTCGCAGACATCCTGGCGCCCAGTCTATTGGGTGAGGGGTCTGTGACGACTTGTTAATCTAATGAATAACTGATTTGTTAAATCAAATGAAAAATTGTGTTTTTGATTGGTCCAGACGCTACAGAGATCAATAAATGGGCCAATGATATTACTGAGTATGTATTCAAGGTGCAAAATGTTATTAACTTGCTATTAACACCACATTTTTCTTGAAAATGTTTTCATAACTATATGAAGATTTTTATAACCTTGTTAGATATGTTCTTTTCATGAAATGCTCTTACTTGACCCAGGTATGTTTGGTAAAGTAACTAACTAAATCTAACTTAAAATTAAACTATTTTCTCTCTAATCAGTCATGAAAGTTCCCTGAAACTCTGTTATTAATATTTATAATCATCAGGAACCATTAATGAAGAATTGAGAATCTACCAACCTCTTTGTTCCTTCGTATCTTCATTTTTCATTCCGCATGCTTCTGGTCTGGATAGCTGACATTTTCACTCTCCTCTAATAAATGCAATTTCAACAGTACGTCACACACATTTCTGCTCATTTCGAAGTGTGTCTTTATGTTCAGAATAAAAATACTGCCGACATTCATTTTTCTGAATCCCAACTTGCATACTTATACACTAAAAGTATGTTTTATGCTGCTTAAAATGTTGTACATATTTTAAAGTATATAAAGATGAGTTTCATTCAAAATTAGATGGATATTCTTACTTCACATAAAGACACAAAATGTCAATGTTTGTTCTTTAGGATCAAAACAATTATTTGTTATTATAGTAACACGGCAGATAGATAATCTATGTCGTCGATGTCTTTATTTTGGTAAATTTAAATAATACACAAACAATGGCTAAACCCCTAGTCTATGCTTCCATCATTTGTTTTATTTGAAATATTTACTTCTCAAATCGTCACAGTAAAATACAAGACAAGTTTGAATATGAACGTGTTTTTGTCTTGTTATTTTTAAACTGTTTTTCCTTCTTTGTTTATAATGCAATTTATTTGTATAAGAACTTGTGTATGTATGTTGGCTACTCATTTACCCATTTGGAAATTAATTCTATTTTGTTTAATTGTTGATGACTGCCCATGACAATTAATAATAATACCAAACCGTGCTCTGACCTAAATCGAAGCACCTTTTACAGGGTATCTGCAGGATTTTTAAAATCATATGTAAGACAGGTTCACAACTGCATGTTTGCTGCTAAAAATATTAGTTGATGTTCACTTTGATCTAAACAAAAACAGCAGAAGCGCTTATTGAAAATGCAAATTCATTCTCTGCCAGCAGATGGCCCTTTAAGAACGGCAGAAATACAGCTGTTTTCCCGGTAATCGCAGTACACAAAGCAGCACAGCACCTGACTTTGAAATGTGCAGCGCTCATATTTATTCAATAAAATCATAGCCTTTGCAATTCTTGTCTTTCCATCCCCAAATTTAAGACCACTTGAAATCATAATTAAGAGTTTCTTATAAAGTTTAAGACCTTTTAAGATTCAACTAAATTTAAGGGTGTATTCAGACCAGGAAAGTCCGCTAGTTCACTTGATTTGGTCTGACCAAATACAATGTTGATTTTTTTTGTTTGGTGTGGTTCGCTTTCACACTGCCCGGAACTGTAAACAAAACCACACGTGTACTTAATTAAGGTCATCCATTCATTGGTTCATCCATTCAACCGTACCAGAGTTCATTTGGAAGCGGACCGAGACCACCTCTTCAGCTGGGTCTCGGTATGGTTGTTTGGTGCGCACCCGAGTGCGATTGCTGTATTCACACCTGCCCAAAAGATCCGCACCAAAGGGGGAAACGAACTTGAGTTTGATTCAATCGAACCAAACAAGACAGGTGTGAAAACACCCTAAGACTTTTTAAAGGGGTCATATGATGCTGCTAAAAAGAACATTATTTTGTGTATTTGGTGTAATGAAATGTGTTTATGCGGTTTAAAGTTAAAAAAACACATTATTTTGCACATACTGTACATTATTGTTTCTCCTCTATGCCCCGCCTTTCTGAAACGCATTGATTTTTACAAAGCTCATCGGTCTGAAAAGCGAGGTGTGCTCTGATTGGCCAGCTATCCAGTGCGTTGTGATTGGCCGAATACCATTATAAACGAGGCATTTGTTGCATCCAGTGGGGACATAATTACGGATTATAATGACTTATACGGTCTTTTTACGGGTTGTGTTGCATTGCGCCGCGTAAACATAAAACGATGTCTGCATTTGTGATCGGAGAAATGACAAACAACAAGCGCTACTCTACACTGCCCAAAAAACTCGCATTTGAATCATCAGTGGCAAATTCTTTAAATATAAAAAAACGGACTTACAGTCTGTGAGTCACAACAGCCGCCTAGAGTGAGCGGAGGCCGGCTCGAGTGAGCAGAGGCGGGCGGGCTTGAGAACAGCGCGGCCGGCGGATTCGACGAAGGAGCGTCTGGCGGGCTTGCGGCAATCACATGTGACAACCCCGGGCTGGACTCCACTTCGTCCCCGGGTTTTGACGGCATGGTA